ACAAGGAAAATATTGAACATTGAGTGATGAAGAAGCAAAGGAAGAAATATACCCCTGAATATCGTGGTCAAATGCAATGTAGGAGCATTTTACTGAGTTTCTAGAATGAGCAATCAAGTGAGTAGTTTGCAAAAGTTTGCCCTCTCTGAGGATTGAACTCAGCACCTTCAGACTATTATGAGACTGATGCACTGCCTAAGAAGGCACTGAGTGCAATCATTTGCAGCTGTAACTATCACTGTAATTTTTCACAAGTGGCGTGATTGCAAATGAAGAACAAGTTTGTGATGAAGCAGCCGCTTACATTGGTATAAAGTATTGCAGACCAGGTATTGTGACCTTCGATAGCTCAGTTGGTAGAGCGGAGGACTGTAGGTGGGAATGCATAGCAAAGCCATCCTTAGGTCGCTGGTTCAATTCCGGCTCAAAGGAATTTTGGAATCAAATTGTTCTCCTCATGGATAACCATTTCGGGTGTTTTATTCTTGTGGGGAGCACAGCATGTGAGTAGTAGCATGGTTGTTGTCTAGTCAGATTTCTCATTCATTTTGCTGGAAGTTACAAAGTGTTTTGGGACGTTAATTGAATACAGTAATTCACTTTTAGGTTTTCTGTTGACGGGCTGGACAATATCGATCGTGAAAATTAAGCTACAGTATTTCTGGTGTTGATGAAAAATAAATCAGAAACTATCATGAGGTCATGCTCACATTATACCGAGCAAATGTTATTTAAATGTTGAATCAAACAAAATCAGTACGAAGTAAGCATTACCTGATCTGAGGTAGAGGCTGAGGCTAAGTGGGGTGGAGAGGGGTTCAGATAGAATTGAGTTGAGGAGAAATGTTTTTGTGTTGCCACACCAGAGCATCTTAAGATTTTGTGTGTCAGTCTACTGGAGGCTTGTGGGTGTGAGAGGGGATTTATCCCAAATAGTGGAGAGCTTGCTTAGCATATGAGAGGTAAAAGGATCGTTGCCTGCATTCTCCAGAGTGGCTTTTTATTTTAAACACCTCAAGTTGATCATCCCTCAACCCTCTTAACTCAAGCTAATACAACCCAACTTCATGCAACCTGGCATCTTAAATTTAACCCTTTAAAGCTTGATATCATTCTGGTGAATCTGGGTTGTACCTCCTCCAGGGCCAATCTGGCTTTCCTAAACCCAGTTCTCCAGATGAGGTCTGACCAAGACTCTAAACAACTGAAGCATTATTTCCTCACCTTTGGTTTCCAGCCACTTGAAATAAAGGCCAACATTCCATTAGCCTTTCCATAACCTTTTATACCTGTGAACTAGTTTTTAGTGGTTTGTGTACATGGATACCCAAATCCCTTTGTTCCTCCACAGTTCCTAGTTGCTCACCAAGAAGAACATATTCCGATTTGTCTTTCTTGGATCCGTAGTGGATGACATCATACATTCCCACTTTGAACTCCATCTGCCACAGTTTTGCCCACTCACTTAATCTGTCTATGTCCTTCAGTAACTTCCTGCTCCCATCTACACAATTTACTGTGCCTACTACCTTTGTGTCAACTGCAAATTTGAATACATCTCTGTATTCTTTAGCCAAGTGATTTTGTTGTTGGGTGAGAAGCTAAGGCCCCAATAAACAACCCTTGGGAACACCTCTTGTCACATGCCGCCATTCAACATCAACTTGCATTTATATAACATCCCAGAACTCTTGACGGTGGCGGAGCTCGACTCCAAGCCGGGGGAGGGGGAGGTAACCTTAGGCACAGTCAAATATGAATGTCTTTAGGAGAGACCTGGAAATGGGGCAGGAAGGTGCAATGGAGAGGGATAGAAGTGTGTTTAGTATGGGTGAATATGGAGGTGGCAGTGTTTTGGATCAGTTGGATCAATGTGCATGGTGGAGTTGGGGAGACAGGCAAAGAGGGCATTTGAGAAGTTCAGTCAGGATGTCACAATTGCTTTGACAAATTTTTCAGCTGAGTCCGGGGTAAGGTAAGGTCAGAGGCAGGCAATAAGGTGGAGGTCGAGGTTGAACCTGACGCCTAGGTTGCGAGCTTGTTCGGTAAGTCTGAGGAATAGGCTGGATAGCCAGAGGAGGAGAAGTAGATTTGTGTGTTATCCACATATATGTGGAAGTTTATCCCATGTCCGTGGAAGGCATCACCAAGAGGGAGCATATATATGAGGAAGAGGAGGGGGCCAAAGATGGAGCCCTGAGTACACCTCAGGCGACAGGAGGGGTTGGGAGGAGAAACTGCTTGAGGAGATAAAATGAAGGTGGGTTGTTAGACAGGACTGGAACCAGGATTGTGCAGTCCCACTGAGGTGGGTGAGGGAGGAGAGGCGGTGGATGAGGATAGCCTGATCGACTGTGTTGAACGCAACAGAGAGTTCCAGGAGGATGAAGAGGCATAGGAAAGCCCTGTCACAGAAAGTTGTTTGTGTCTTGAAAAGTTATGGGCTATGGGCAGGGCAGAAACCAGACTGGAGGGGCTCAAGGAGGGAATGGAGGGAGAGGTGAGAGCAAACCTGGTTAGCAACAATGCTTTCCAGAGCTTTGGCAAGGAAATGTGGGTTGGAAATGGATGAGTAACTTCTGAGGTTGGGAGGGTTCAAGGGTGGATTTTTTGAGAGGGCGAGTGATGACAACAGTTTTAAAGAGGCGAGGAACAGAACCGGAGGAGAGAGACTGGTTGACCATGTTGGTTAGCAGAGAGGAGAGGAGGGGGAGTTGGGTGACCAGCAGCTGGGTGTGGAGGGCGTTGATTCACCAGGTGCTGGGCTTCCTTTGGAAAATGGTGGGGCTAAAGAGTGGATGCAGCCAAGCAGATGTTTTCAATCTTTGACACAAAGAAGTTTAGGACCTCTTTGTACTTTTCTTTAGCGATGAGGATGGAGGCAGCTTGAAAGGGATGCGCGGAGGAGGTGATGAATGGTGAATCCGGCGCATACATTTGTCCTCCTCATCAAATGTTCTTCCAAAAGTCCATATAGACAACATCCATAGACATTCTCTTATCCACCATGGTGGTGACATCCTCAAAAAATTCAACTAGATTTGTCAGATATGACCTAACCTTCGCAAATCCATGAGACTCACTTTGATCACAAATCCATGCTGACTCTCCTTGATCCAGCACCTTGGGACGTTCTCCTGACATGGAAGGCGCTATGCAAATGTAATTGTGTATGGCATTTTTTATTGTATCGTATCATACTTGTCCAAGTGCATTCTGTCGCTGATGATAGAAAAAATGATTGCAAAAGTTTGCCCTCTCTGAGGATCGAACTCAGGACCTTCAGATTATGAGACTGACGCGCTGCCTACTGCGCTAAGGCACTGAGTGCAGTCATTTGCAGCCGTAACTATCACCATCATTTTTGACAAGTAGCACGATTGCAAATGAAGAACAAGTTTGTGAAAAAGCTTTGGAGGCCTCATGTTGTGACCTTCGATAGCTCAGCTGGTAGAGCGGAGGACTGTAGTGGGAATGCACAACTAAGTCATCCTTAGGTCGCTGGTTCAATTCCGGCTCGAAGGAATTTTTGGGGACAAAATATCAAGCCATAGAATCAGCAGCATTCAATTATCCTCCTCATGGACAACCATTGTGGGTGTTTTATCCTTGTGGGGAGTGCAGCATGTGTGAAGCATGTGTTGCTATTGTTGTCTAGTCACATTTATTGTTTGTATTGTGGAAGTTACAAAGTTTTTTTTACAAAGTTACCGAAATACAGTAGTTCACTTAGTTTTTCCCCAGAGGATTGATTTCAAGATCCTCATCCTCACCTACAAGGCCATTCACGGCCTTGCTCCCTCCTACCTCTCCAACCTACTATCCCCCTACCTACCTGCCCGTACCCTCCGTTCCTCTGGCTCCGGTCTGCTCCACGTCCCCCGCCCCAACCGCCCTACTATCGGTGGTCGGGCCTTCAGCCTCTCAGCCCCGAGGCTCTGGAACTCCATCCCCCAGTGCCTTCGCCTTGCTTCCTCCCTTTCCTCCTTCAAGGCCGGTCTCAAAACCTTTCTCTTTGACCGTGCCTTCAGCTCCCCTCTCGACTCTCTTCCTCCTCCTCGCTCCCTCCCTTCCCTCCCCTCACCCTGACCATTTCCCCCCTCCTCTCTCCCTCCCTTCCCTCCCCTCACCCTGACCATTTCCCCCCTGCTCGGGTCATGACCCAACTGTGCAGCGCCTTGGGACGTCCTCCTGACGTGAAAGGCGCTCTATAAATGGAATCTTGTTGTTGTTGTTGTTGTTGATGGGCTGGACAATATCACTGTGTTTGCAACACTGAAAACATTGCTGTAATATTTGTGGTGCTGATGAAAAAGAAATCAGAAAATAATTTGACATCATGGTCATATGGTAGAGCGCTCACTTAGCATGTGAGAGGTAGCGGGATCGGTGCCCGCATTCTCCAGTGTAGTTTACCATCTGTTCATTGCTTCACAACAAAGAAAATATTGAACGTTTGTGTCCTGAAAAAACAAAGATGAAAAATGCAGCCTGAACATGGTGGTCAAATGGTACTTGAGAATTTTTACTGAGTTTCCAGAATGAAAATCAAGTGAATAATTTGCAAAAGTTTACCCTCTTTGAGGATTGAACTCAGTACCTTCAGATTATGAGACTGACGCGCTGCCTACTGCGCTAAGCAGGCATTGAGTGCACCCATTTGCACCCGTAATTTTTCACATGTAACATGATTGCTAATGAAGAGCAAGTTTGTGGTAAAGCTTTGCAGATCTGGTGTTGTGACCTTCGATAGCTGAGCTGGTAGAGTGGAGGACTGTAGTCGGATTGTACAAGAAAGTCATCTTTAGGTTCAATTCTGGCTCGACGGAATTTTTTAGGGATGAAAATATCAAGCTTTTGGCTCAGATGGATAAATTTGTCCTCCTGATTTGTGAGTGTTGCCAACTGATCTAGGCTGACACCTAGTGTTCATTTTGTGAATACAAAACATTCAGGAGTCAATCATATTTTTCCCTATTAACAAACAAGTTCATTTCTGATTTTACATTTGGCCACAGATGACTTTTAATTAGAAATATGAATTTTATCAACAATACTTTGCTGAACTGACATAACCACTTATCAAACAGACTTGTCAATTACATTTTATGCACTACTGGCTGTGGGAGATCTCCTGTGGGAGGATTCCTTGTTGAAGTCCATACATGTGCAATAAGCTTGTTTAGGTCATAGCTCATCAACGAGAAGAGAACCCCGAAACAAAATATGCGTATGACACTCCCCCCACGTCCCTACGTTAATCGATTATTGCGTTATTGGCAGACAGACATTTCGTCTTTATTAGTGCAAGATAGATGTAGCTCTGGAGAAAGGTGTTGCTACTTTGTTGCAGAATACCATGCAAACCTCATATTTTTGAGCTTAATTAAAGCATTTGTTAATATAACTCATCAACACTAGGAGATTCCCCCCACCCAAATATGCCCATTACACTACATTACACTACCCCATGCAAGACCTTTCCGATGAGCTATAAATCATGTCTCTACGTGAATCAGTTATTGCATTCTTGGCAGACAGTCAGACATTTCATCTTTATTAGTATTGATTATAATCAACTGTATAATTAAAGCAACTAGACTTCTGTTGGAAACAAATTCAAATAAAATATAAACCCTTAGCTTTAAGTTATATATTGTTCACATCAAAGTAAGAATTGGTTCACATTAGTGAATTAATAATTCTAATAAAAATCATCCTTACAATTGATGTAGTACATTTCACATCCTTTGAGACAACTCTCAAAGCTCTCCATATTATGAAGTGGATTTTTATTTTGAGGGCAAAATATAGTTATAAAGAAGCACTGAACACCAGATGATTCACCGGTGTCACTTATTCTGTATCTATCAAACCTTTGAACTAATGTAGCATCCATTTACTGTCTTGTTCTGCCCCTATTCAATGATAGGATGCAAAATTTGTGACAATTTTTAAGAATTATTCTAAAAATGTGAAACTGACTTTCACTCAAAATATAGTTTCAAGCTAAATTGTAATCATTCATATTGATCAGTTTGTTTATCACGGAAGTTCCAAGTTAATAAAGAGTAGATGGCGTTAACAGTAGTTTACAGCACCATCACTGTTACACCAGTCTTTGATCATGGCAATAACTACTGGTTACACACAAGATATTTATACACATTTTTCATTTTAATCAGATTAAAACACGCATTCTAATTTCTACCCAAAATCTTCTTCCAGCTTTGTGGAATCATCTTGGATGTATCAGTCCAAATACCAGATTTAAAAATTAATCCATTTTAATGCTTTCAGTATTCATCATCTGGTGCTTGGTCGCGATCATCCCTTGTGAACCTCACTTTCTTGTCACATCTTTGGACATGATCTTCATTTCTCTTTTCCAAAAATTCAATCTATAAAATGTAATTTCGGTAATTAGGACTTGTACAAGACTACTTTCTAAAATAAACACAGGCATACATCTTGAGCTAATCAATAGATTCCACTCTTCTGGATACAATACCTCAGAACAGTTTCCCAAGATGAAAAATGATATCCATCATCAAAGCTAGTTAAAAATAAATAAGTTTCAAACAAATGAACATATGCTCTGAAATACTGCATCAGGGTAGTAATAGTGAGGACTGACAACAAATTGAATAGGCTGGCTTTGAAGTTATTGAATTTGCTAATAGAGATCAAATATTCATAATTATCATGGTTGCTGACAGTTTAGTTATAATATATAATAATCCATTCAGTTGGTATAGCACCATATAACATTATCAAGATGTTTCAAAGCATTTCACAAGATTATATTGTGAAGTGTGGAGACAGTGTATTTGTATTTGGATGCAAAAGCCAATTCGTGCACAGCAATATCCCACAAAACAGTTAATGAAATGAGTGACCAATTTTATTTGAGGATCGTTGGACATGACACTAGGAGAACCTCCCCTCTCTTTTCAAATAGTCCCATAGGATTTTTAACGTCCACCTGGTTTAACGTCTTATCTGAAATACAGCATTACCCAGGCACTGCAATGGAGTGTCAGCCTAGATTGAAAGTTCAAAGTCCTGATGTAGAGCTTGAACCCAGAATTGTATGACTCAGAGCTGCGAGTGCTACCAATTGAGTCAGGCTGACACTTTATTTATGTTAATTCATCTCCCTAATACCCATTACAACTCCAAGGTATTTACCCCCTCATCAGCATGTAATGCTCCAAACGAAAAAGTCAAGATACCCTCTAACATGGGAGGGTAACAAGAGGATAGAATTATCTGATTGAGTCAATCTATCAAATATTTTGAGTTGGGGGTCCCTGGACAGCTAATCAGTAAGGAGAACTTGCTGGATTTCTCATTGTTTCAGTTTTAATGAAGAAGAATACTCGCATTTAACAAGTCAAAATGTCTTAAAGAGCTTTACAGGATATAGTTTAAGTGAATTTTTAATGTGTATTTTGAAGGCAAAACGTGGCAGCCAATTGCGCACAGCAATGTCCCACAAACAGCCATGGAGTGAGTGACCAATTTTATTTGAGGGATTTGTTGGTCGGGACACTGGGGAAAACTCCTTTCTCTTTTTGAATAGTGCCATGGGATATTTAAAGTGCACCTGAACAACAGACAGACCTGTTTAACATCTCATCCGAAGGACAGCATCTACAATAATGCAACACAGCCCCAGTGCTGCATTGAAGTGTCAACTTAGGCTATGTGATTCCACAGCAAGCTCTGTTTCACAAGCTTTCTGCGGTTTGTCCAGCTAGAACTATTCTACCACTCGGTCTATGCCTTGCAGAATTAACAGGAGCAAATGGGAAGAATCCTTGCCAGTACTTTGGAATACTGTGGACCCACCTAGCCTGGGAACCAGGTTACCAAAACTATCAGAGGGTCAATTTGATTACCACATACAGTTGCCAAGCACGTCATGTTGAAGCCAGCTGAACCTCAAGAAGAACCTAATCACACTTTGTTCATAACACAGGGCCTGAGATATTAGGATGCCATGTAAGTACTTCTTTGCTTACTATCATTACTGGAAATATTTTAAAATGACCTCATGAGGAATTTCCAACCAGGCGTCAGAGTGCTGAGATTATAGAAACAAAGTTCTCACCTCAACAATAAAGTCCACTTCATTTTCTGCTTTTATATCTAAACTAGTGACGAGATTGAAGAGCTCCCTTTCATTCAATGCATCTGCAACACCTGCTTTCTGGAAGAACTGCAACAAAATAACAGCATTTATAAGTTTACAAAGCTGTGCCCTTCGATCCTAATCTTTGAGCAAATCTTAGGATACAATACACTAGTTACATACAAATCTGCTCAGAAACCTCGCCACTCATTAACGTTCATTTGAATTCTGAACAACTTTCAAAGTACTATAAGTTTTAACATGCTCAAATACTTGTAGTACTGCACTGCTGTGTCAGCTGACCCTGTTATATCAAAGTCCCAAACCGAAGCTTGAATGTACACCCGTCTGACCCACAGAGAGATTGATAACAACTGAGCCAAACTGCCAATGCAATAACTATTAAATATCTTAATAAACAAACTCCTTAAAATTCAGAATAGAAATTCAAGACTGTCCTTAAATCTTTCAAATTAAGTTAAAGACTGTTGTTTCAGCTATGTTCTCAGTTCAGGAGTCTAACTCCCTGGAACATGCAGGAATAAATAGGTCTACCTGCGAGACATTTTTACAGTCCCTGAAGAGAAACTTGAGTCCATGAGGATGGGTGGGCGCCACAGACTGACTGACATCGATCAACCAAACCTGTAAAAGAAACAGCAGTACAATGTAATAATGTACACTATATAGATAACTTTCAACCCAATCTGGTTGACCATTCATTCTTTAAAAGGATATTGAACACAACGTGAGCCAGGAATAAACGAGGCAAACATGATGCTGAAATAAACTAAACTAGTTGAGCTTAAATCGGCAGACATCATTCGTATCGTGTATATAACATACAATGCTCTCGTCAGCCTATGATGTATATTGGGACATCCGACGTGAAAGGAGCTATACAAATGTAATCTTGTTGTTATTGTATTGCATACAGTTCTGGCCATTGCGACATTATGGGGCTGTCTAGTTGCTAGAGACAGTGCAGAGGAAGGAACAGTTGCAATCTACTGATTAACAAGGATGATCCCTAGGAATGAGCTCTGAGCAACAATTACATAAGCGAAGACTTTTCACTCTTGAGACAAGATGACTCAAAGGAACTTCATAGAGGTGTATCAAATTTTAAAAAGAACTTAAAAAACAGTAAACCCAGTTCAAAACTTTTAGGTTTAGAGTTGCAAAGGGCAATTTCAGATACCAATTTTTCCTTACTCGGAAGATAATTAATGACTGGACCAGCTTGCCAGGATGTGGGTTAGAGGCTAGAACACTCATTTAAAACACAACTTGTTGCTGTTATGTAAGGATCGCAGAGTAGGTATTCTGAAGAGATAAAATCAGATGAGTCAAAGGGCTTTCTTCAGTCAAAACAATCTTGTGGTTTTGTGAAGTAACAATTCATCAGACATTCTTCACTTCACCAAAATCTTAGTTGCAGTAAATTAAGACAATTCACTACAAAAACAACCTGTATTGATATAGTGCCTTTCAGTAAGGATAACATCTTGAAATGCATAAACGTGTGGAAATTAATTCCATGTCTGTCTGGAGGTGACATCACCAAGAGGGAGCATGTAGATGAGGAAAAGACCAAGGATACAGTGCTGAGGTACTCCGTAATGGAGTGACCATACAAAGGCTGAAGGAAAAACCATTAGAGAATGGTGAGGGAATTTTTAAAAAATAGAGCGATTAGGGGATAGGGGGATAGGGCAGGTAATTAGAGTTAGGTCTGAAGATCAGCCATGATCTTATTGAATGGCGGGGCAGGCTCGAGGGGCCGAATGGCCTACTCCTGCTCCTAATTCTTATGTTCTTATGTAGAAGACGCAATGGAGGTGGTAAGTTAAGTACGATTGGAACTAGGAGAATGCAGTCCCACTTAGGTGGATGAGGGAGGAAAGACGATCAAGGAGGAAAGGCGATCAAGGATAAAATGTCAAATGTGTCAAAAGCAGCAGAGGAAGGATTCTTGAAATGAATTAGTCTAGCATGTATTTTGTGTTAAATGTTAATCCTTTGTTGGTTACAAAAGAAGCTGAGAATAAAGCAGCACCTCATCCAACTATCATTCTTCACAAATGAGCTGAGTTGACAAAAAAGTGTCAGCTATTCTACCACAAAGGACATCATAGCTGAGCTCAGTTCCATAATTCATACACATAACTATTCCTTACCTTCCTCATATGCCAAAGCAAATTGTACTCGCTGAGATCAGCATGAACAAGATTGCATTCTTTGTAGAGTTGTTGCATCATCTAAAAGACAAATCAAACCAACAGTTTACGGCATTAAGGAAGCTTTAAGCTGGGAACAAAAGAACAGCCTTCATTAGAATTAACTCAACCTAACCGTTTGTTCAACCCATTTTCTTGAAGAGCTGGTTTCCATGGGGGTCTTTGCATAAATAAGCCTCTCTCAACATCTTTAAAGTTTATTGTATTTAGAATGATAAAGCAATTTGAAAGTTTGTGACATTAACAATATTAAAAACTCATAATAATATTAACTCACAACAGCTGAACACAACTGCCACTGAAGTGAGACAACTCGCAATAAATTTCTATACAGAATGAAAGGCTTACATCTAAAACCTGGAAGTAGGCTAGTTTCATATCTTCAGAATTAAGCTTAACATCCTTTAATTTAGGTGCTGGAACTTGATCTTGGCCTATGAACGACATCACTAGAACATGCTTCTTTAGAACCACCACCTCTGGACAGCAAATTCCAGCTTTCTGCATTCTGAAAAGTAAAACAGTGCAATTGTAGAGCTTTGTTCCAATAAAGTACAACACAGAGTACAACCACAATGCACAGAAAAGATAAGATAGGATATTTAAATGCAATTTAAATGTAATAGCTTCTGGGAAGAAATATGGAAGCAAGGACAAGATTGCATATTTAAACGATTCTTTCTCTGACTCTCACTGCGAGAAAATGCTGGACTTCCTCAAGTCCAAAATCGAGGAATCCGCTCAGCTGCCACTCCCCTCCCTACCCCCACCCCACACAATTGCCCATCCAACAATTACCTATCCCTCCTTCAACACCTTTGAACCTGTCACCCCCTCGTCTGTCTTCACCACCATAACCTCCATGAATCCCACCACCTGCTCCCTGGACCCCATCCTTCTCCTTAAATCCCAGCTCCACCTTCTTGCCCCACTACTTGCCGACATCATTAACCTCTCCCTGTCATCTGGCACTGTCCCTTCCCCTCTTAAACAGCCATTATCACCCCCACCTTGAAGAAACCTTCCCTTGACCCAAGACAGCTATCTAGCTCCCAGCCCATCTCAAATCTCCCCTTCCTATCCAAGGTCCTTGAGAGCCGTTGCCTCCCAGTTTCGCTTTTTCCTCTCCTCTCACTCTCTCCATGAACCCCTCCAATCGGGTTTCCGTGCTGCCCACAGCATGGAAACTGCTCTGGTCAAGGTCACAAACGACATCCTGACCATGTGTGACCAGGGCTCCCTCTGCCTCCTTGTCCTCCTCGACCTCTCCGCCACCTTTGACACAATGGAACACTCAACCCTCCTCCACCGTCTCTCCTCTCACCTCAACCTTCAAGGTTCTGTCCTTGACTGGTTCAGGTCCTACCTTTAACACTGCCTCCACTTTGTTGGGGCAAACAGCTTCTCTTCAAGCCCCCGCAGCATCTTGTGCTGTGTTCCTCAGGGCTCTGTCCTCAGTGCCCTCCTCTTCATGCTTCCCCTTGGTCACCAAGGGGGAGCATATAGAGGGTGAAGAGTAGGGGACCGAGGACAGAGCCCTGAGGGACACCGCACGAGACAGTGCGGGGGCTGGAGGAAAAGCCGTTTGTGGAAACAAAATGAAGAGGTACTACCTAAACCACTCAAGGACAGGGCCTTGAAGGTTGAGGTGGGAGGACAAGCGGTGGAGGAGGATGGAGTGGTGGACCGTATCGAATGCTGCCGATAGGTCGAGGAGGACGAGGAGGCAGAGGGAGCCCTGGTCGCAGATGGTCAGGATGTCATTGGTGACCTTGACCAGGGCAGTTTCTGTGCTGTGGGCAGCACGGAAACCCGACTAAAGGGGTTCGAATAATTAATGGGTGGAGAGGAAAGAGCGCAGCTGGGAGGCGACAATTCGTTCCAGGACCTTGGATAGGAAGGGGAGGTTGGAGATGGGCCGGTAGCTTGATACTTGCGACGCATCAAGGGAGGGTTTTTTCAAAGTGGGAGTGATGGTGGCAGTTTTTAGGGGAATGGGAACAGAGCCAGAGGAGAGGGACAGGTTGATGATGTCTGTGATATGTGGGGCAAGGAGGTGGAGCTGAGAGATAAGGAGTGGAGTGTGGATGGGGTCAATGGAGCAGGTGGTGGTTTTCAGGGATAGGATGAGTTTGGTGACAGAAGGTGGGGAAACGGGTACGAAGGTGTGTAGGGGAGGATGGGTAGGAGTCGGGAGTGTGGGAGGGAGGGGGTGGGTGGATGTTGGAGGGGAAGTGACCGCGGAGCGGATTCCCTTGATTTTGGATTCAAGGAAATCCAGCATCTCCTCGCAGTGAAGGTTGGAGGAGATGACCTGTGCGGGGTGGCGGGGGGGACGGAGGAGTCGGGATGTGGTAGAAAACAGAAGCCTGGGGTTGTTCTTCGCCTCAAGGATTATCCTGGAGTAGAAGGACAACTTCTATTCCAGAGGACGACTTCCCCCAGAGGATCAAGTTCAAGATCCTCGTCGTCACCTTTAAGGCCATCCATGGCCTTGTCCCCCTCCTACCTCTCTGACCTGCTGACTCCCTACCAACCTGCCCGCTCCCTCCGTTCAGCAGGCTCCGGCCTGCTCCATGTCTCCTGCCGAGCCACTCTAACATCAGTGGTCGGGTTTTCAGCCTCTCAAGACCCTTCTCTAACCGTGCCTTTGGTCTCCCCCCCCACCTTTCCTCACCTCTACACCACCCCTCCCCCATGCTTGGGCCTCGACACCTGACTGTTCAGCGCTTTGGGACGTCCTCCCGACATGAAAGGCGCTCTATGAATGTCATTTTGTTGTTGTTAAATATAGCTTCTGGGAAGAAATATGAAGCAAGGATGAGATTGGCCTTTGAGACAATGACCCAATTTTATTTTCCTGCTAACGCATACTTATCTAGGTTCACATGAGATGTGGGCATTTGTATGAGGTACTGTAGGATTGCCCACAATGCATAGACCGGAGAAGAAAACAATGAACTTTTCCAGGTTGCTAAGTTTTAAGATTTTGAAAGCAAAAATGGAATTGTAAACCCAGATCACAATGCTAAACTATAACACTCGGTCCATTAGAAGAAAAATATTAGTGCATCATCAGATGTGATACATTACAAAACGCAGTAGTGAAGTTTATGCATGCCAGTGTTGCAGACGGTAAGTTTAGTTTTACACTAACATTGGTAAAAGATGGAATTTAAAAACCTAGAAGGAAACTGCAATGGAGCAGCAATTGCACTTCAAAGAGGAAGGATTCAGAGAAAGATTTAGATCAAACTTTAGATAGGTTGCAGGAGAGAAATCATACCTCATCAAATTATGCATTTCTTTCTCTGCCCACAAGCGGATGATTTTTCGTGGATTTAACTTGCCAAAGCGGTCTTTGAACCTATTGTCATCCTTAATGTACTTATCACGGGTTTTGAACTCATTAAGTGTTGTCTTAAAGACTTTGATAGCACATTCAGAAGGCACGATATGTTCATTGATCCTTAATAAGAAAGGGATAAATTATGTTCAATAAATTTAGCAAATATAGATTCCAACTCTAAAAAGAAAAATAGTTTTTACAGTTCACAGTGTAATAGCCATAAGACTTTAGAAAACATAATTATCAGTAAAGCTGCTATAGAAATATGCAACAGCTGTGGCTACTAGTTTCATCCACTTTTACAGCTATGGTCATTTCTGCCTGATTAGTCTGGAGAGGATGGTCAGGTCAGAGAGCATGATGATACAAATGTGCATCCTCTGTGCAGCTAGCTTGGCACTGCTGGTTGCATTTTTCCACACTCTTCCATTAAAGCCCTCTGAGTAGCCAGTACTGTCATGTTCTCTATCACAAGGATCATGGAATCAGGCACAATTTGATTTAAGAAAACAAATTATAAAATAAAATTGGTCACTCAATCCACAACTGTTCGTGGGACACTGCTGCGCACAATTGGCTGACGGTTTCACACACAAAATATACAGTCAATTTACTTTACAGTATATTCTGTGAAGTGCTTTGAGACGTCTCGAAGACGTGATAAGAAGATTTGATCAGTCATCCCTTCTTGTCTGGCCTATTCTGTAATACATACCTTCCTCCATTGCCATGCAAGACCACCGACTCTTTGCCTGTGCTAATGCAGCCATTGACGTTTTCCAATAACCCGACATTTACCATTTTATACAGCAGCAGGCGGGTTTTAGTGTCTACAGCTTGTTCCTGAAGTGGGGAAAATATAAAAAGCATAAGATTGATTTACATTTCATCTTAAATTTTGTGGAATCTAAAACTGTAAAACAAACACAATATTACTTAAAATGAAGTGAATCCAGATTAAATTGGTATCCTGCCCATTTCACTATAGATATTGATGCTCAGAGATAAGTAGGTCTCATTGCTGGTTGCACTTGAAAAATGCCAAGGAGGTAACTACTGCCATATTCAACAACAACTTGCACTTATATAGCACCCTCCACACAGGGTATGCCTCAGAGCACTTAGCAGTGAGGGGTAAAATTCATCACATTTCAGCTGGTAGCCAAACCAGCACAATTCATGAAGTGAAAATATTTCTGAGTCTGCATTCCTGAGCAGAGCAGGAAGAGAGAGTTATGTGCCTTTTTCATTGCAGGTAAAATAAAATTCAGATTTCTTTATAAACCACCTAGTAAATTATAATCTGGGTATACCCGAAAGTCAGACAATAAAATTAACACAGCCATCATTTTGTTCAGTTTTCTTCTGTAGTTGGACCAATTACTGACAATTTCACCCAAAATATCCAGCAGAGCAACATCAAATGTATATTCGCCCTGCCTAGAAACTGGAAGACTGAGACATATTGGATGAATCTATGAACCAAGGCATCGATAAAACAGATTAAAATTTAAATGATTAGATTGAGCCCAATCATATTCTCATTCCTACTTTATGTTCTTACAATGTTGAATTGGAATAAAGTTCATTGTAATTTATAATCAATAACACAAGTTTGAATTCTAGTTAAAGGGGAAGGATATGCAATAGAAAAATACCGTTCATTTAATGTTTTCTTAAATATAATGTCTTAAAACTTTTAGTTAAAAAAGAAATTGAAATACTCAGCAGACGACCATGAACAGTTTATAGTGACAACATAGTCATCAGCATTTTCTTCACTTGCGGCTATTATCACAATCCTTTAAGTCAGTATCCAGAAATGTAACTAGGTACAGAACTTACAGAAGTAGAATGTTCCTTTTTCTCATGAAGCTTAGCACTGCGACGCTGCTCGGAGATCGAGTGCTGCTTCAGGGCATTAAACACACGATTAGATAGTTTCAAGTCCATTCCAATTCCATCTCCAACTTGGAATTCTGGAGCAAACTACAAAGAAGAAAGGATATAAATCTCTGAAAAAATAAGCTGGCACAATTTTTGAAAAAAGTCATCCTTTCATCAGATTTGCAAGTTTTATGAAGGTCCAAGCTACCTGTTGGAGTGGGAGACCTTCTTTATAGCACAAGGGAGATCTCGGACGTCTGGCATTGTGCTTTCACTCACAAGATTAAAAATACATTCAAATCTATCCAGAGGTTAATACTCCAAACACTGTGTATTCACAAACCACCAGTCGATAATTATTCTAGAGCAAGTACTTACATTCTCCATTCTAGCCGTGTTCTTTCTACCACACATCACCTCATCATGCTTGGTGGTAATGTCTTTCCCTTTTCCAACAAATCCCCGCTTTGAGGCATTTGATTGTTTATCTGTGACACAAGATGAAAAGATTTTCAAGAATCATTTTATGTGTAAAAAAAATCCACAGCAAGTATAATTGAAAAATATTTAAAATAGGATTATAGACATTTGCAGAGGTTACTTGCACCACATTTGTGTATGACTGGTCTTCAGTTACACATTTCACCCACAAATATATGGTCAATTCACTTTACAGTCTATTCTTTGAGATGCTGAGAAGATGTGAAAAACGCAATATCAAATGCAAGGATTATTATTATTATTAGTCATTCAAATATAACAAGTGAATTTAGAACCCAAACATTCCCAAGTGGTTATGAATTTTTGAACTAAAATATGCTAATTTAACTTCCAGCATTGTGCAATAAGTGTTAATTTAATAGAATTCTAACTAATCTTAATAATACTGCTTACATGTATTAAAAAAACTAAAGATTTTTGCAGGATACGAAAAAACATGTTTTGAGGTAAAAAAAATGCTTATATGAACAGTGCATGTAAATCAATCCAATCCCAGTGAAACCTTTACACAATATACTTGCATCAGAAATCACCAAGACAATTGCAAGTCCAGCCCAAATCCTTTCCTGCACTACCCTTTGCACGCCCATCACTCCTCTCCACCGTCACCTCTGTCCTGCAGCTTTATTCTGGCTAGCAAATCTGTTGCCCTTGTCCCACCCTACCTTTGCAATCTTCCCCTGCCTCATGCTCCCACTCCTTCCCCATTCTCTGCAAGCCTCTCCTAAAATACATTGACTTCACACACTCCCTCTCCACTTTCAAAACCCTTATAAAGGCCTACTTCATCACACCTTCAGTCAACTCCCTCTTATTTCCCACCTTACTCAGGGTTCCACTCTGAGGCCCTCAGAGATGTTTCTCTACATAAAAGATGCTTTACAGGTTGTAAATGTTGTTTTAAGAGGAACGAGCTTTGAAGAAACATTAGAAACAACAGCCTGGAAAGAAAGTGGTTATAAAAAGGAGAAATATTAACATTGCACCATATTGCTCAGGTAATCAGAAATTACCAGCTCTGTAGGGATCATGGTACGTATCCTGCCAATCCACTTCATCCTCTGAACTCTCACTGTCTTCAAAAGGATGCACCATTCGATAATTCTCAAAGGAAATAGAAACTGGAATAAAAACAAACAGTATATAGAACTAGAATGACATGGAAACAGGCCATTCAGCCCAACTGGTCTGTGTTGGTGGTTGTACTTCACATGTGCTCCTACCTCTCCTAATCCCCTCTTCTATACTCCTCTCTATTCCCTTCTTCGTGTAAACATCAAGTTTTTTCTTGAATATGTTGAGGCTCAATGCCTCAACCATAACTTCTGGCAACATTCCACATTCTCACCAATGTTTGAGTAACGAAGGCCCTCCTAATCTCCTTTAAGATCTGCTGTTGGCCATCTTACACTGCATATACAAAAATCTAAATTATAGTATAATTTCCTGTATTTCTGAGATGGCAGAACATACTCCCTGCTATTGCTGCTGTGCTCGATAATTCTGATGAACTATTTAGTCAGGTTGAGAAGCGGACATCAAACTATAACCTAATTCATCTTGAATTACAAGTGGTAGCTGGTATTTGATATTCAGTAGTATTCAAAATTCAAATATTTTTAGTTTCATGAATGGAGGATTAGTAGTCTACATTTATGATTGTTTTTCATATTCTGTACAGAAATGTTACAAGTCTGTAAAACAGAATTTCTACGCTTTACGCCTCATCACGTCAGCCAAATATTTTACCCATGAGAAATTTCCATACTCTTTTCAGATGCACATTAAAGATCACAAGGCACCCTCTACATGCTCCCCTTTGGTGACACCATCCGCAGACATGGGGTAAATTTCCACACGTATGCGGATGACACCCAACTCTACCTCTCTGCCTCCTCTCTGAACTCCAGGACTACTGGCGTCCTGACCGACTGCCTGTCCGACATCAAGTCCTGAACGAGGGACAACTTTCTCCAACTCAACGTCAGCAAGACTGAGACCCTTCTGATTGGCTCGCGCCAGCGCCTCCGCACCGCAGGCGCTGTCAGCATCAGCCTCCACGGCTGCACAATCAACCTCACTAAGTCACATCAAGGCTCGATTACAGGAACTCCCTCCTCATCGGCCATCCCAACTCTTCCCTTCACAAGCTGCAGATCATCCAAAACTCTGCAGCTCATGTGCTCTCACACACCAGGCTCCATGACCCCATCACTCCCACCCTCGCCCGACTCAACTGGCTTCCCATCCCCCAGAGGATCGAGTTCAACATCCTCGTCCTCACTTTCAAGGCCATCCATGGCCTTGCCCCCTCCTACCTCTCTGACCTGCTGACTCCCTACCAACCTGCCCGCTCCCTCCGTTCAGGGGGCTCCAGCCTGCTCCATGTCTCCCGCCCGACCATCGGTGTTCGGGTTTTCAGCCTCTCTGCCCCCACACTCTGGAACTCCATCCCCCGATCCCTTCACCTCGCTTCCTCCCTTGCCGCTTTCAAGGTCGGTCTCAAGATGCTCTCTTCGACCGTGACTTTGGTCGCCCTCCCACCTCTCTGCCTTCTCTCTGCCTTCCCTCACCCATACACCACCCCTCCCCCATGCTTAGACCCCGACACCTGACTTTTCAGCGCTTTGGGACGTCCTCAAGAGGTGAAAGGCGCTCTGCTCTATAAGTGTAAGTTTGTTGGTGGTGTTGTATTTGGAAAAGAGGAGTTTCTCCTGGCTTCCTGGCCAAAAATCGTTCAGATAAAAATTGGTCATTCACTTTATGAAGTGAATGGGCACAGCTCTGCGCAAATGGGCTTCCATTTTTGCCTACAAAATAGTCACTTCTCTTTATACTGTTTCCTGTGAAGGCTTCGAGACATCCTCCTGACATGAAAAGTACCATATCAAGTGTAAGGATTATTTTATAATTTGAAATCATCGTTTCAGAATACGCATCCTATTATTTTCCTAATACAGCAGAAGCAGTTTCCTAAACCAGTTCAGTATCTTGGATTCTAACACAATTCCTGGTAACCTATTTTATAACTGTTAATTACTTGCTACTTAAAATACTTTATTGTGATGAAGTTAACGTTATCAAATGACAAACTGATTGATGAATTGACCTCAGATGCAGGAAGATGCCTGAAGCTTAAAAACTCCACTATTATCTGTACCTTTGCTGTCTCCGTTGAGCTTATTCTCTTCCCGTCGAAGTTGTGCATCGTATTCTCTGTCAAATTCCATTTGTAGCATTTGAGCTAAAAGGAGGTCACTAGAAGTTTCACCTCCCTCTCCAACGAAAGCAACCTTATCAATACTAAACACATAAGAAAAGGAGGTTGAAAATTATTTCCCCCTGCCATTGATCTAAAAAATATTTACTTACCAAATTAAAAGCAAAACATCACTTCATGCACTTAATGTTGATATTAACCAGAATAAATCAGATTCCAGAATTTTCTAGCATTTTCAGCAGCACGGTCCAAACAAGATCATGTCACAGAGTAAAAATAACATTGTTAAACAATGGCTCGCCAAATACTCAGTGGGTAAAATGCATTGTGTGATGTGGCACTGGTAAATGCTGAATTAGCAGATGTCAGAGAGAGCAACAGTGGGCACAATCAATGATCTGTGTCCTAGGCTAGGTAGGAAAAGTGAAGCGAAAAGTATCAATCAGGTTTCCTCCTCATTAACTAATGATACTCCTGTAAAGTGAACATGTGGGAACACTGGATAAAGGCAACAATGCTTTTTCCACCCTGCTTCCTAAATTGCTTTCCACTCATTGTTTGAGCGCATATCCAATAAATGTTGTGTTGCAGGAAGGAGCAACCTGCGTGGTGTCTGTGCTCTCTGGAAATGCTCAAAGTGGACAAAGGTTACAAAAAGTGAGCACTTATTTCCTAGCAAACCAATCATTTTGATGGCTGAGATAGTTAAGCAGAATGCCGTCAGGTGTTTTTTTTAAAAAATCTCACTTGTCCAATGCTAACATTAGGCCAGTGGTTCCCAAGCGACTGACCGCTTTTTTATCCAGATCATGATACTCTTTCCCCCAAGTAAATCAGAGTCCTCCCTCCCAGATCAGGCAGCTCTTTCCCTTGACGCACAGCCCCATAGTTTTCTGTGTCGTGGCTAATCGTTAAAATCAATAGAATAATGATAGTTCTGGTTGGCAACAAAAAAGTGCTTATGTCAGGAATGACAAATGAATGACAGATGAAGGTGGTTACGGCAAGTCTGGCAAGCCAAGAACCATGGTATTCCCATGGTTATGGAAGGGAGCTTTCTCCCCTTTTCAGTAACTTTCAATGCCACTTGCTACTCATTTTGATTGACAAGTGATTTTAAAAATAGCTTTTAGCAAGTGGATTGAAATTGCTATTGACAGTTCCCTAATGATAGTTCATCCATCCACATTGTTTCCCATAACATTTTTAATTAACTAGCTATTGTGTTTCATCTGTAGATGCAAATGGACTGAAGCTGCTTTTGTGAATCTTTGGTTTGACCTCTACCAAATAGAAGAATTGAAAAGCTGCAGCACTGTTATTTTCAGCAGGCACTGCTCCACATAAGCACTTTACACGCACTAAAGAGTTTCAGTTATTTTTCCTTTGGTAGCTCCTCAGTACATACAGGGGAACGTAATGAATAGAAAAGGACCTTAGTAATGAGTAACATTTATCCAGATACATAACTGAGATCCATATAAATTATAGGGATCCACACAACATAACAGTATACTCTATTTTCCAGAAATTAGGCATTTCAAGACAAAAACAACTTGGATTTATAAAGTATCGGTCTCATAGAATAATGCCTCGGAGCACTTCACAGTGGCCAGTTTGAAAGCCGAGCTGGGGCGTGGTGGGGGAAAAGGTGACCGTAGGAGCAGTCAAAGAGGCATGTGTTAAGATGGGATTTGAAAATAGGTAGAAGGGGCAAAGCAAAAAATAGAAGCAGAGAGTTCCAGAGTTTGGGATATAATAACTGAAGACTTAGCTATCAATGGTAGCTTGGATGGAGCAGAGAGAAACGGAGGTGCTAGGGTATAAACATATGCAATATGCCCAGTGTATCTCATTTGGAGCAACAAAACATAATAGGATATAATGACATGTTACTCAATAAATACAGATCTGTGCATTTAAATGGTTAACATACAAATGCAGCATCTGATGTTCCCAAAATGCTCATCTTTGCCTTAGCGCTACCTAAACACTTTGCAGGAACAGCAACAATAGTCTCTTCCCCGCGACTGACCCTATACAAACTAGGATTGAAGTAGAGACCCATCAGGACCTTGGTAAAGTAAATGAATGAGCGAAATAAATCTTGTCTGAATACAATTTTAAACCACTTCTTTAGGGAACAATGTATCTAATCAAACTATTATTGTCTGGACTAATCTGAAATGAGCCATGATTGCTAACAGTTCATTTCAGATTAGTTCAGACCAAGTTCAATACCAGTGTTACAAAGCCTTCTGCTTATTCCAGGATTTGCTGACTCTGTATTGCTAACTTAAACTAAAATTGTTTTTCAGCTCTTAAAAACAGTGACAAAAACTTTGTACGTACTCAATGACGTTAGGGAAGGCTGCTGTATCCTCCTGCTGCTGCAATTCTTTTGCAAGTTCTTCACTCATTACATCCGAAAGGGAGCAGGGGGTCACTGTGGACAGTGGTGCCCCCCAAGGTGACTATAAAGAAGAAAATCATAACATCAAAGTATAAATCTTTTAAACAGAAGCTCAAATAAAAGTGATTTTAGCAGTTTCAATTCAACTGGAGCCCTGAGTAATTTGATCAATGATGCAATAATTTAAGATTCTCTCGGAAACATCATTTCAGCATTCAAATTAATTATGATCTAACATTAGGTGTTATTATTCAGAAAGGGCAGGATCAAATGGGCTTCACCCAGACCCACCTTGTGATATTAAAATCCCATAATCACATAAATACAGCTGGTCAAGGCACTCAAGCATAGGTGACTAATATGGTACAGCAACGAGAATTCTTGCAATACCAAAGACTAAGTACTAATTGTGTGGTTAATGCATGGTTTAATGAAACATCTTTCACATTATTGTCATTATTGAAAGGGAAAGAAGAGAATGCAAATACTCGTGAGATAAGAAAACACAACACGAGAAAAACATTTTGCTTAGCAGTAGCTCCTCAGATTTACAACCACCCATGTAATATGGATTAATATATTGTCCCAACAAAAAATAGATTGCGTTAAAATTCATAACCAGCCATATTATAATCACCAATATGACTGACTGGGAATAAATCCTCATATTCAACGATATAAGCAGGTTTTCACTTATTTGGAATGTACAAATAAATAATGATATCTATCTCAGATCTGACCTATTTTTGCCTTCATATGTAACACAGGGAGAGGATACAACCTATTTCTGAAGTTCACAGTAATGGCAGTAATAAATAAAACTTTCCTGTACACAGGTGATGTTCCACTATGCATCTCCAAACTAGTCTACAACCCTACCCAATTTGCTAACATTTACAAACGCAAGTCTGATTGACATCTGATTGAACTTGGTGCATGTAAATTTCACCATAGCAGTATATGGTACTATTTTGTTCAAATGCCACATAACAATGAATTGCAACATGCATTATTAGTACTGTGTAAAAAAAATGAGAAAAAATAGGTAATGTATATTAAAAAATAACAGCAACAGTGGATTAAAATGCAATCTTTTCACATTGTGACTTATGGAATTAGATTCTCCACTTTCTAAAAGATACTAGGATCAGAAACAAGTGTAGGCTGTTTGTAATAGCCACAAGTTCACAACTGAAAAGTAAACATTTGCTCTACATTAAATTGGCAAATCCAATCAAAGGAGCCTCAAGATTTCTGCTCTGGAAAATGTCAGACTGGTGCTAGAAACACTCCCAGGGTTAAAAAAAACATTCAAGTTGTTCAATATTTGTTTTTGTGGTACATGAAATAATAAACAAAAAATACTGAGTCATGCTTCAAACAGTTCCACCCAATTTAGTTCAATCGATCATGAGTCACACACGTCCTTTTTTGGTCAGCCGGGTGTCTGACACATGTGAAAACATCACCATGCTTAAGAGTATCCAAACCAAATTGAGAATTCCATGCATCCTACCTACACATGGAAATCCTATAGATTGTTGGAATGAAATGCACACTCTCTCCCCAGAGGGACCCATCCTGCTTAACTAATTCTGGAAAGTATTAGGCGTAGGTTAGCGGGAGCCAAGGCTTAGGATCCCAGAGCGTGCACTGGAATACTGCTGGAGTCCAACCAGCTAAAACTGCATTGCTGGCCATTGATAGTGCTCTGTGGCAAGCTTTCACGTTGCTTTTCCAACTTGGACCATTCTACCCATTAGGGCTTTAACTTGCAGGGTTAACAGGAGCTGAGTGGGATGACACCCTACCACAGTGACAGGCCAGCCCTTCCAGGTCCTGCCGCTGAGCTAGGCTGGCTGTGCCGTCATCAGCAGTACCTTGGAATACTGCAGACCTGCCTAGCTCAGGAACCGGACTACCGAGACTGCCACAGAGGGCTGGCCCAGAACCAGTTCAGCTCCAAAGAGACCCCGCTTCCCTCCATCCCCCCACCCCAGAGGATGGTCACTAGTTGGTCGTTTCGATATCCAATACACGCGGGTTTGAGCCCTCACTTAAACAGATGGCCAAGATGTCGAATGGATGAACGCAGAAGAACTGAACCCAGTGTTGTCAGCAATAACATTATGTATTTGCATTTTTTTTGCACTTATACAGTGCCCTTCATGTGGGGTAGCATTTCTGAGTGTGTAACAGTGGCGGAGCCTGACATTGAGCCAGAGAGAGTGGGGAGGTGAACGTAAGCACGGTCAAAGGGAAGGGTCTTCAAGCATGATCTGAAATTGGAGAAGGAGGAGCAAAGGCTGAGGGATTGGGTGAAGAGAATTCCAAAGTTTTGGGGGCGTAACGGCTGAAAGTACAGCCACCAATGGTGGAGTAGAGGAGACGAGGGACAAGGATGAGGCCGAAGCAGAAGCAGCAGGTTGTGAAGTGGAGAGTAAACAAACTGAGTGAGAGGATCTTGAAGTCAATTCGCTCTGTGATGGGGTGTCGGGCCTGGTGTGATGGGGGTACAGAGTTTAGAGCGGGTGAGTGGAGTTCTAGATGAGTGGTGCACATTTTATTTTAATCATAAAATTAAAGCCTTTACTTTCATACGAGGCAAGTATGTACCTTGGGTTTCCATGGCGCTGAGGGGCCAGGCCCTGCAACCTGCTCCATGTCACTGTTCCTGTCCAGGGGAGACAGCAGCTCCTTTTCTTCGCCTCACTCTCCTCTCCTCTCCCACTCCGCTCTCCCTCCTCTTTTCCCCCCTCCTCGTTTCTCTCTCACTCGGGACAAGTCCAGACCTGTCTGTCGGGCCTCCCCTCCCCTCCCCCCCAGGCCAGGACTCGGCAACGGTGGCAAACACCAGGCGGGTGACACGCTGACAATTCACTTTCCTTTTAAAAAAAGAAAAATAAACCCCTGTCGATATCTGTAAAATATATAAACAAACAGGGAGCGAGTGCCACGTCCTGAACCCTGGGCTCTCTCTCTCTCTCTCTCTCCCTTTCCTTTTCCTCCTCCTCTCACTCGCTGCGATGGCCGCCGGAAGCGCGCGCCCAGTCGGTTAAGATCAGTTTGAAGGCGGGGTCACAGGTCATCGTACACCGTGACGTGCATAGAGGGCTTGCGCATGACGTCATCGGGCTCCGCGAAGCCCTGCTCCCTCTGTGTTGGGCAACAGTCTGTAATGAAGACTCCCATGTGTTCAGGGCAGTTGGTGACTGTGCCAAAGCTGCTGCTTTCACCTGCAAGAGTTTACTGTGAAGTCACTCACGCCACTTTAGAGTAATAATAATAATAATCCTTTGCATTTGATATAGCGCTTTTCACGTCGGGAGGACGTCCCAAAGCGCTTCACAGAACACACTGTAAAGTGAATTGACTGTATATTTGTGGGCGAACGCGGCAGCCAATTGCGCACAGCAATGTCCCACAAACAGTCGTAGATTGAAAATGACCAATTTATTATTGTTTTGGGGGGATTATTATTAGGCTCTGTGTGGAGTAAGGAAACTTGCCCAAGGTTTCGCCCTCTGCCTGGAATTGAACTCAGGTCTCTCACTCGCAAAGCGAGTGCTCTAACCACTGAGCTACAGGACTCCACTGAGCTACAGTAAATCCTGCGAAGCACTTTGAGACGTCCTCCTGACGTGAAAGGCGCTGTATTGCATTCAAGGGTTATTATTATTTGAGCTTTTTTAAAGAAAAGCAGCCAATTGGTCAATGATCATTAGTTTCAACCACGTGAAGGTCCTCCTGACCTGAAAGTTGCCATATCAATGTAAATTGTATTGTAATGTGTCATATTGAATAATTATTGGGTGAAGGAATAATTAGAGCTCCAAAGAATAGAGGAATAGAACAACAGCAACAACAAATTTACATTAATACTGCATCCTTAGTGTTAGGAGGATGTCCCAATGCACTGAGCTGGGGCTGGGGCCCGGAAGGGGAGGAGAGAGGTGTTGGGAGGGGAGGAGAGGGGGAGGGGGTTGGGAGGGGAGGGGAGTAGAGGGGGCGGTTGGGAGGAAAGGAGAAGGGGCGGATTGGGAGGGGAGGAAAGGGGTGTTTTGGAAGGGCTAGACGGGTTGGGGGGAAGGCACACTCAAAGAGGAAGGTCTTGAGACGGTCCTTGAAGGAGGCAAGGCAATACAATATTTCCTCATTCATTTACCACTGATGATAAGAATGTACAAAATCGGCCGTTTAATGTTTTGTTTGACTTTGGTTGCATATTTGCTCTCAGGCAGATAAATAGGCTGAGTCAATAAACAATTTGCCATGTTCCCAGAAATAATGCAGTCATGAGGTAATATGTCAAATGAAACATCTCCTCATTTGGACTGCAAAGTTATAAGTCCCTCGCTCCATGTAGTTTGTAGTGAAGAAAGAAAAAATCACACTGGTAAGTAATCTATAACCACAAGCATTTAATGCACGTTAATAGGTCTGTTTGTCCTTCCTCTTCTACACCATTCCTCCATTCTCTGATTGTCCTTCCTCTACACCATTCCTCTGTTCTCTGAGACTGTTTTTCAAAACCACTTTGCCTTGCTATATCGCTCCCTGCCTTAAAAAAGTATCCTGGAAATAAACCTCTTGGACTGTGCCTTTGGTCAGCAACCTTTAAATCTCTTATTTTCTTACCTGATGTTCACCACAACAGTTGTCAAGCACTTTTTGTTCTTTCACTATATAATTGTAAGTTGTTATTTTCCATTTATGGGACACCATAGAGAAATATCAGTAATGTAAGTTCATCTGGCAGTAATAAAGAAGATAAAACAGTGGTTTATTTTATCCCTTTGGTTATTTATACTGAGAACCTTGATGTATATTTTGATCTCAATTTTATAATAATAATCCTTGCATTTGATATAGCACCTTATCATATTGAGACATCTCAAATGTATATAATATATACAATACTGTCAATACTGTCACAAATTATGTACTCTGGGTGTGGATGAATTCTACCCAATTGTCTTGGTCAGCTCAGGCACAAACGATATTATCACTGCAGGATGCAGTACTTTCTCACAAAGTAGCCACAGTTCTGGTCTAATTCCAAGGAGGTTGTAATTATCGAGACTGAACCAGGTAGTAGTTTTCCACTGGAGTTTTTAAATTAAGAGTCCTCAAATGATTTCAGAGATGGTAGATTTTACAGAGTCTCTTTGATACAGAAGTTTGAATGCTACGCTTAGAAATTCTCTTAAATTCCAGATCAGACTGACCCAGCAGCCCCTGTTTCCCGTCTGGCTTACCCCCTTGTTTTCTCACTTTCCCTTGTTTTGAGAACTCTCCACTCTCAAACTCCATCTCCTGACACTAAACAAAAGTTTGAGACACAATAAAGACTGGATATCGATAAGAATTATTGTTGATTGCTGGAGTTTAGCACTTGGGGCAGGAGTACATTCATCTGAGTTTCAGTAACGGACGACAAGGGGGATCAGGCCAACATGCCTAGGAGGAAGCTCAATCAGTTGTTAGTTGCTGTTTGCCGTGCTATTAAAACCCATACCATGATTTTCCTTTTTAAACTTGTAACAATGCTCAATAAGACACCACGTTGACTGTTGACTAAAAATGACTTTTTCCACAAATACAATACAAATTGACATTTATATGGAACTTTTCATATCAGGAGGCTTATCACTTATATAAACATACTCTACTCAGTGTACAATGCACAAGAGATTGCTTCTTCCAAGAACTAACAAAAATGGATTATTTTTCACTAGTCGTGTGATATATTCAACAGCATATCAGCTCTGTGAGATAGAGTGAGCAATCATGCAAGTCAATGAGGTCAGTGCCTGAGGTGAAAAGGTGGAGAATTATTATAAAAAGAAATGTGTTGCCACAAGGTGTGTTTATCTCTATGTTGCAGGTCGCCATGCTGATAGTTGGGCAGCTTCTGATTTTCCTCCTGTCAACAGGATCCTTGTCTGCGTGCCCAGAAAAATGCTTTTGCCATTCAAACATTGTTGACTGCCGCAACATTGGTGCCAGGACCTTCCCACACAAACTCCAACCTGGAGTGGAAACGTATTTTCTAGATGAGAATCAGTTGACCAGAATATCTATCAATGCCTTTGAAGATGTGAAGACCTTAACCTATCTTGGTTTATCAAGAAATAGCCTTCATCTCCACAACTACACATTTGAACCCCTTCTAAATCTCCAGGCTTTGGAGCTGTCTGGGAACCAGTTGTCTGAACTTCAGGCAGATCTGTTTGTAAACCTTCCAAACCTCACGTGGTTAAGTCTGGCCAACAACAACTTAAAAAGGCTTTCTAATGGGATCTTCAGGTCACAGATGAAACTCACATACCTGGATCTCTCCAACAATCAGGTAGTATTGCTTCCACAGACCTTTAAACACTTGCCTCAGTTGAACACTCTTTATCTCAAGAACAATAAGCTGAGAATGCTCCCAACAATAGTGTTCAGCCACCTTCTTGAACTTGAGGTTCTCGACTTCTCGAGCAATCAATTGAGATCTCTACCTGCCCTTTTCTTTGCTAATCACCACAAACTTACTGACCTACGCCTGGACTTCAACAGATTAAGCCACCTAGCCTCGACTCTGTTTGCCTATCAGCATGCTTTACAGTACCTAACCATTTCTGGAAACAATATTGGAAACTTTTCTTCAAAACTGTTCAGTAACTTGACCAAACTCTTGCACCTGGATTTATCCAATAATTCCTTAATCCGTCTACCCCTAGATTTTGTTTCCAATCTGGAAAAATTAGAAGTATTGAAGCTATCTGATAACTTCATCAATGGATTTCACCCTGGAATATTCAGGCATAACCTCAAATTATCTTACCTCCACTTGGACAGAAACCAGCTCACCAGCCTCCCTGTGTTTGAAGGCCTGCAGCAGCTGGAAGAGTTGACTCTCCGTTGCAACAGCCTAGTTACTCTTCCGTGGCGATTTACTGACAATCTTATAGGACTGCGCTGCCTGCAGCTCACTGATAATCTTATTAGTGAGCTACATGTTGCCATGCTTCATGTCAACATGACTTTGCTTTTGATGAATAATCCAATCTGTTCGACCAAACTGCAGACAACTTCAACTCAATCCACAAAAATCAACTGCACAAACAGACAATGCTAATGAAGATGTTGGCATGTTTTCAAAATAAAATTGCTTTTGGTCATATCTGTTATGAACAATTAATTGTGTTTATACATATCTATATACTATATCTAAATTCATAAAATATGTTTGGCATTTGGAATTAAAAGCATATTCTTTAAATGAAAAAGAGCTGGTCTGAGTGTTGACACAACTCTATCCTTATTTCAAATAGACTGAAGAGAAATTCCATGTGTTTTATAGTTGGCCATGGTTAACCTGAGCTTCAACATTTGTACAGAATTAGATCAGAAAGAGCAAAGCCGGGTGCAGTTGAGATTTGTAGCAACTGAGAAAAGAGCAACTGAGAGAACATTCAATATAGATAACTTTGACAATCTTTCCTTTCTCAGCAGGAAGCTTACCAGACAATGTTCATATTGGCGAGCTATGCGGTTTTAGCTGGTTAACCTCCAGCAGTACTCCAAAGCACACTCTGGGTCGCCAAGCCTTGGCTATTGGCCAACTTGCACCTGATATTGTCTCGAATTAGGTAAACATGGTGCATCTCCACATGAGGAGAGTATACATTCCATTCCAGACTTGAGAATTTCCACGTGTAAGTGGTATACTGCATGTGGAAGTCTAAATCCCGTTTCGATACTCTTAAGCATGGTGATGGGTTTATTTGTGTGTCAAGCACCTGGATGACAAAAAAGTTTACATTCTCTTGTTCTCATTGGTGGACTGGCAGGAACTCACAGTCATTAGTTTCCTAATGCTTCCCTGTTCTTTTTTTGGGATAATAGCAAAAGTTGTCGTGCTGTGAGCTGACCTAACCACCAAGCAGTTTGTGACACTTCTGTTATTAACCGACAAAGGCTGTGTTTACATAGCTATCATTTCAGCTCCCTGCATGGTAATCCATCTGCCTATCAACACAACAGCAACTTGCATTTATATAGCCCACTTCACATGGGGTAGTTTCTCGGAATGCTTAACATTGGCAGAGCATGACGCCAAGCCGGGGAGAGAAGGGAGGTGACTGTAGGCACGGTCAAAGAGGAAGTTCTTCGGAAGTGATCTGAAGAAAGAGGGGACAAGGTGAAGGGATTGAGGCGGAATTCCATAGTTTCGGGACATAGTAGCTGAAAGCATGGCTTCTGATGGTGAAGTGGAGGGGACAAGGGACATGCAGGAAGCCAAATGCAGATGATGGGTAATGGGTGTGGGCGTACACAAGTTGGAGACGTAGGGAGGTGCCAGGGCATGAGGTGATTTGTAACTGAGTGTGAGGATCTTGTAATCTTGTAATCGATCCATTCTGTGATAGGGAGCCAATGGAACCTAGCAAGGACAAGGGTGATAGGGTATGGAGTTTGGTGTCGGTGAGTATATGGCCTGAAGAACTTTGAATTAATTGGATTTTATGAATGATGGAGCTGGGGAGACTGCTAATTATGGCATAGGAATAATCGAGGTCGGAGGTGACGAATGCATGAATATGGACTTCAGTTGAGTTGGGTGTGAGGTACCGTTGGAGGCAGACAATATGACGGAGGTGGAGGAAAGCAGTCCTGGTCACATCTAGGGTAGGAAGCTGAGGATATAACACGAAGCCAAGGTTACATACAGGAACGATAAGTCTGAAAGATAGGCTGGGGAGGTTAAGGAATTTGGTGTCGCAGGTAAGTAGATGTTGATGGGAGTCAGGGAGTATGGCTAACGTCTCCTCAACACTCAGCTGTAAGTTTGACTCCTACCTTGTATGGTCTTCTTGCTTTCAGTTTTTATGTGGCAACATATGGCTACGTAAAACAAACATTGGATGAAAAGCTCTAGTGGAGAATATGAGCAACGATCCCGCTACCTCTCACATGCAAAGCGAGTGTTCTATTATTTGAACTAATTCCCCTTTGACTTACATTATATTGCAAAATTCCAGCAGAGGAACCATCAACATGCAACGATTGCAGGAGAGAAAGGAAGACAAATGCTGTTTCTCACGAACTCCTCTCTCCCTTTGAAAGCGAACAAGAAATTAATATTCCAAAACACTTGAAATCAACAAGAACTCTTCCATGAATATCAGTCTCTGACCATTTTCTTACAAGGCACAGCTGAAGCAGCAGCCAAAGGAGAAAGTAGCTTGTTTGTTTCTTCACAACCCATTGGTTTACCACCAAAGTTATTGAAACAAAACGCAACAAAACCATTCAATGTTTCTTTACACTCCTGCTCATGTTGTGCTATCAAGGTAGTTAATAATAATCCTTGCATTTGGTATAGCGACTTATCACGTCTTTGAGACATCTCAAAGTGCTTCACAGAATATACTGTAAAGTGAATTGACTATATATTTTGGGGGCAAAACGCAGTAGGCCAATTGTGCACAGCAGTGTCCCACAAATAGTCGGTGATTAAGTGACCAAATTATTTTTATTATTTTTATTATTGTTTTAAAAAAATTGGAAAGGATTATTAACTTTCACAGGTAGTATTTTTGTGGAGTCCTGCAGCCCAGTGAGAAGTGAGTGCTCTAACCACTAGCTCTAACTAGCAAGCTACAAGACTCCACAAAAATGCTACCTTTCCTTGTCATACACCCCTTGCAAATACTTGAAAGGAGTAGAGAGAGAGAAAGGACTCCACAAGCACTGAAAGAACCTACATATAGTCAGCAAAAAGGAAGAGTGAAGAATTTGTGAAAAATGGGGCAACATCATAGATTGAGAAGGAATAGGACTTTCAGTCAAGATCAGTTGGGAAATTGTGGGGTTAGTGTCAATCTTTCTGTCCTGCAATAATTGATAGAAGTACCAGGACCTTTCAATTGAGATCAGGGAGGGCCAGTGGCGCAATGGACAACGCGTCTGACTACGAATCAGAAGATTGTAGGTTCGAATTCTACCTGGCTCAGTTTTCTTACTCCCTATTTTTATGGGGCAATATGATGCTACATAAAACAAACATCAAATAAAAAGCTCCAAAAGTGAATTCAGGCATCAATTATACTGCAAAAGTCCAGCAGAGGAAACATCAAGATGCAATGATTGTAGGAGAGAAAGGGAACAAACATAACTTACGAATTAGGAGGAGTAGACCATTTAGCCCCTCAAGCCTGCCCCGCCATTCAATAAGATCATGGCTGATCTTCTAACCTAACTCCATCTACCCACCTTATTCCCATATCCCTTAATCCCTCTATCCTTTAGAATAAAGAAAGGCATGTAAAGAATTCCAAATTTCTTGCAACTGCCAAGAATTATTCCATGCTTCTCAGTCCCTTACCAATTTCTCCTCAGAAAAGCAAGGCTTCTTTCCAGGTACAATTGAAACAGCAGCCAAAGGAGATTATGTCTTCACAGCTTACTGTGTATCATCAAAGATATTCAACCGGAGGCCACCAAAAGCTTTCCAGCTTCATGGATTGAGAAGTAGCAGGACCTTTCATTTGAGATCGGGTGGGGACAGTGTCGGAATGAATAACAAATCAAAAGGTTGTAGGTTCGACTAATACATGACTTGGTTTACTTGTTTTCAGTTTTCGAGTGGCAATATAATGCTATGTCAAATAAACACCAGATGAGCAGCTCCATTGGAGAATGCGGCATCGATCCCACTACCTCTCACATGCTATGCGAGCGCTCTACCATTTGAGCTAATTCCCCTTGATTTGGATTATATTTCACAAGTCCAGCAAAAGAACGGTTAAGTTGCAATGAACGGAGAGAGAAAGGAAGCCGAATATTGTTTCTCACCAACACCGCTCTAACTTTGAAAGGGAACAAGAATTGAATATTCCAAACCATTTGCAAAAGTCGAACAAATTTTGCATTTGAATGCTCCGTTAAGTGTTGAATCAGGCTGACGTCAGAAATGTACAGATCGGCAAATTTTCAAACATGCGCGCAACAACTGCAGCAATACTTTTCACTGAAAAGGATGTTAATTCGAAATTAGTTTATCAAAGAAGCGGAAAGTGGTTGCTGAAGGCTGAATATTCAACAAAGAATGGACTTCTAAATATTGTTTTACCAACGTGGGTGGAAAATAAAACAAATAAAATAAAAATAAATTTAAAAAAATAAAGAAAGAAAATAAAAACAATGTGCAGTTATAAAATAAAGTAAGCAATTTTGCATGTTTTTCACTGGCACTTGATGAGAGATGTGATATCAAATATACAGCCCAGTTGATAATTTTTATTCAAGGTATCACCACACATTTTGAGCTCACAGAAGAATTGGCATCAATGCAGTCAATGAAAGATACGACAACTGGAGAAGACATTTTGGAGGCAATAATACGTGTATCATAAAATTAGTAGTGAAGTGGAAAAATTGGTGAATGTGACCACTGATGGAAGCCCAAATCTGATATGTTGGGTTACTGAAAAGAATTCAAGATCAAGTCAAAGAAACAAATCCAGAACAGAATATTGTTCTTCTACACTGCATTATCCACCAAGAGGTCCTCTGTTCTAAAACTAAACAATGTCATGGACACAGTTACGAAAGTGGTCAACCACATTCGAGCAAGAAGATTAAACCACAGGCAATTTGTAACTCTGCTTGAGGAATTGGAATCCGAGCACACGGATGTTCTGTATCATACGAATGTAAAATGGCTTAGTTTAGGAAAGGTCTTGAAAAGAGTGTGGGAACTGAGAACAGAGATTGATTTATTTTTGGATATGAAACAAAAAGATTTGGATTTCCCACAGCTGAATGATACGAATTGGTTCTCTGACTTCGCATTTGCCGTTGTTATAATGTGCTACATGAATGAACTGAATTCAAAACTGCAATGAAAGAGGGCCTTTGTGCACGATTTGTATTGCAGTGTCAAGTCATTTATGACAAAATTATTTCTTTTATCGTGTCATATAGGAAACAGGCTGTTTGCCCACTTTCAACTTTGCAGCAGATTAATGTTTGCGATCAAAGCCTTAGAAAGTATATTTCGTCACTACTTGACTTACATGGCGAATTTTTTTGCCGATTTCAGGATTTCAATTTGATCGAAAATTGGTCCCTTCACCTTTCTCATTTGATGTTGACAAAACTCCATTTGACCTCCAACTCGAGCTTATTGACCTGCAATGTGATCCATTGGAGGATGCTTGTACTGTTTGGATCAACATACATATGTGAGGAGACATTTTCTGTGATGAAATTCAATAAATCAAAACATAGATCTGTGATGACTGATGACCACCTTGCAGCAGTACTCCGCATTGCAACAACAGAGACGATGCCAACTTCAATTGTCTGGTTAACATACATCAGCGCTTTCATTCTTCCCATTGAGTGAGCTTCTCACATTCTCATCAATATGTGAACAAATGGATAAGTATCGAATAAATGTCTGCTCAATGAGTTGTTTTTATTTAACCCAATTTTAATGAATGTCAATTATGTAGACTTTATTTTATGCATGTACAAGTGTAAGACTTGATTTTGAGCTATTATTAAGCATTTGCATCTATATTAAGTGTGTGGCCCGCGAAGCTTACCAAAACTCGTGAAGTGGCCCGCCAGCTAAAATAAATGCCTATCCCTGTTCTCCATCAATCAAGCTTCTGATTCTTTGCAACTGTTTTGTTGTCACGGCATGAGCAGGCATGTAAAGAACAATCAAAGGGTTTTGTTGCATTTTGTTTCAATAACTTGGATCGAACAGCAATGGGTTGTGAAGAAATAAACTATCTCCATTTTCCTTAGGCTGCTATTTGATTTGTGCTTAACAAGAAAGTCTTGCTTTTCTGGTGAGAAAATGGTCAGAGACTGAGATTCATGGAAGAGTTCTTGTCGTATTCAAGTGTTTCAAAATATTCAATTGTTCCCTTTCAAATGGAGACTTGTTGTTGAGAAATAACATTTGGTTTCCTTTCTCTCCTCCAATCATTGTACCTTAATCATTCCTCTGCTGGACGTGCAATATAATCCAAATCAAGGGAATTAGCTAAATGGTAGAGCACTCGCATAGCATGTGAGAGATAGCGGGATCGATGCCTGCAATCTCCAATGGAGCTTTTCCTTTGATGTTTGTTTTACATTGAATTGTGTTGCTGCCCAAAAAGTGAAGCAAGAAAACCAAGCCAGGTCGGAGTCGAAACTATAATCTTCTGATTCGTAGTCAGACGCGTTGTCCATTGTGCCACTGGCTCCACCTGATCTCAAATAAAAGTTCCTGGACTTCTACATCAATCAAACTTCCCATTCTTTAACTGTCTTATCACAACATGAGCAGACACGTAAAGAACAATCAAAGGGTTTTGTTGCATTTTGTTTCAATAATTTGGATAGAACAACAATGAGTTTTGAAGAAATAAACAATCTCCATTTTCTGTAGGCTGCTATTTAATATGTGCTTCTTAAGACTTACATTTCTGGTCAGAAAATGGTCAGAGACTGAGATTCTTGGAAGAGTTTCTGTCATATT